TCTTCAGGCCAAAGGGCATGCCCGTGAAGCAGAAGTTGCCGAATGGTGTCATGAATGCCGTCTTCTCTTCGTCCTCGCGGCTCATTGGTATCTGATGATAACCAGAGAACATGTCGAGAAATGACAAGGTCTCGTGATTTGATGTGGCGTCGATCAGCTGATCGATGCGAGGTAGCGGGTAGGGGTCTCCCGGGCAGACCTTGTTGATGGTGGTATAGTCTACGCACATGCGCCATGCTCCTGACGCTTTCTTTACCAGCACCACATTGGCGAGCCACTTCGGGTAGCGCACCTCTCTTATCAGGCCAGCGGCCAGGAGCTTCCACAGCTCCTCCTCTATTGCTTTAAGCTTGTCGCCCGTGTACGTGCGCCGCCCTTGTTGGCGCGGCTTGGCTTCCTTTGGTACAGCGAGGCGGTGTTTTGCGATCTCCCTGGGCACCCCTGGCATGTCTTCAGTCGACCAGGCGAAAAACTCTTTGAACTCTTGCAACAACTTGATCAATGGTTCAAGCGCCTCGTTCGGTATGTGTGTGGAGACGCGCACCTTTTGCTCAGGCTGCGCCGGGTCTATTGCTACCTCGAAGTCTGAGTCAACGGACTCTGCTCTTGGTTCCTCCTCAATGCGCGCATCAACCAGGTTGGCGCTGTTCTCTCCAACTTCGTTCGCCTTGTTCCATATCGCTCCCCACGCGCAACCTACACCTGAAGTTGTCGGGAACTTCACCTTCTGATGACAGGTAGACGCTATTGCGCGGAAGGTGGACATAAAGGGGCGCCCGAGGATCGCGTTGTGAGGCGAAGGGCAATCTACGATGGTGAACTCAACCGCCTTATGTTCTCTTGGTTCGTGATCGCCTATGATGACGCGCAAGGATACAGTCCCTATCACAGGCACGCTCTCGCCTGAAAATCCGAATAGGCTTCCCCTAGAATGCTTGATTTTTTTTGGGTCGATGTCCATCTTGTCGAGCGTGCTCTTGAATAGGATGTCGGCCGCGCTACCCCCATCCACAAGCAGGCGGCGCGTTTTGCATGAGGCGATCAGAGCTGTGACGGTGAGCGGTTATTCGGACGGCTTTCCTCTGGGATATTCGGAGTCGGCAAATTCCAACCGCTCGCTGACGCGATTGGTTGACGCGCACTCAGTTGCGCGTTCTCTTTTTGTCTTCTTCCTTGGCGGACTTTTGACGGTGACAACACCAATTTCCTTGCGCACTACATACCGCCCGTCTTCTTCGTATCCTGTGTTAGGCGGAGGAGGGGGAGTTTTTTCCTTTCTCTCGCCGTCGCCCGCCCCCGCGACGCAGTGGGCCAAGTGCCCCCTTCTTATGAGTGCTTCGATTTCCACCTTTAGTTGGTAGCAATCTTCTGTCATGTGCCCCGTTTCGCGGTGGAAGTCGCAGTATTTCTTGTGGTTTCGTCGGTTCTCCGGCACTTTCGATGGCGCGGGCCAGTTGACCCTGTATCCTTTCTCTCGGATTACATGGAACACGTTCTTGACCGTGTCGTTCAGAGGCGTGAACGTGTTCGCCTGACGCCGGTCGGGGGATCGACGCCGTGGCATGCGGTCTTCTTGGGCGCCTCTCTGCTGCGCCGCCCCGGCGCCGTGGAATGCCGCGGGGGGAGGGTTGCGCCGCATTTGATCCTCTCTCGGGGCACGAGAAGGCTCGAATCTCTGCACGGATCCCGCTCCTAACGTCTCTTCAAGTGTGATTGCCTTCTCCACTTTGGACTCTAGTTCCGATGTTGAGGTCACGGGCCTCTTTGCTAGAGCGCGCCTTAACTCGCTGTTAGTTGTCACATCCATTAGATGTTGCGCGGCGGTTTCCGGCGTGAGGTCGCGCACTGCCATGGCCACCCTCGACCACCGTGTGTAAAAAGCTCTCAAGCATTCTCCTTCCTTCTGTTTGAGGTCTACGAGCGCCTTGGGGTGAAGCGGGCGTCTCTTCTGTGACGCGAATTTGGTGGTAAACAGGCGGATGAACTCCTCAAATGTTTCGATGATTCCACTTGGCAACCGGTTGTACCAGTCGAGGCATAGACCCGAGAAGGTGGATGGGAACGTGCGGCACATCGCCGCGTTGGACCAATTTTGTAACTGCATTCTGAGGCAGAACGCGCTGACGTGGTCCTCCGGGTCCGTCGTTCCGTTGTATGTCGGGAGGGTGGGGAGTACTCCGTTGATTTGTTCCATCATGATGTCGTCGCAGAGGGGCTGTCTGATCGCGGGTTTCCGCAGCCGGCGCGCGTCGTCCGGTGCGCGATACAGGGGCGAGAGGTGTTGCTCAAGGAAGGTCGGCCCTTGGCCTGGGCTCCTGGTTCAGGGGAGCAGCGCGCTCCACTTCTCTTCTCACCGGAGTGGGGTTGGGCGCAGCGCCAGTCGCCGGCGCGTGTCCTCCAGTTATGAGGGCTAGAATCTGGTTCATTTGTCCCTGCATCTCCGTCACCGCTCGGTTATTGTGCGCCATTTGCGCGCGCATTTCCTTTGCCAACATCTCCGGTTCTTCTTCTTCGATCAGTACCGTGTTGAAGTCACTGGTGGATTCGAAAACCCTCCTATCTGTCACGCCTTTTAGTGGGGTCGTCTCTTCTGCCATAGGATTCCTGTCTTCTTCCGTCGCTATCATCGCTTGCTTCCCAGACATACTCACGCCCCACGGTGGGCGCCAATTGTTTATGTCTCGCTGGTGGGGTAGGAGGGAAACACTAAGTATAAAGGAGTGTGAGAAGTGTGGGGTAAGCAGCGTGCCAAATAGATTATCTTATTGATGTGTTGGGAGAATGAACAGGTTACAATGAAGGTTCGTAGAGAGAGAAAGTTAGAGAGAGAATGGTTTCGTCCCTTTCTGGTTGATCCCCTTCTCTCCGTCATAAAGGCTGTATTTATACCTTCGTCAGGGTAGGTGAGCCGTACAGGTGGTGGGACCGGTTGTCGGACACTTTTGGTGCTACCCGTGTCGTGCGCATGCGCGCAAAGGTATTCGCGCACAAATCTTGGACGCGCCACGACTTAGTCTCCGACCCCAACACCATGGTTAATGAAATTTAGGCTTAATTGGTTTGGTTATTACCACGGTAACCATTTGAACACCCCTACTTACACTAACAATTCCCAAAATATACAAGTTTGGCGCAGTTTGCCAGAGTGTCCTGCGATCTAGGTATTGGTTTGCTGGAGATCAAACGAAACATCCTAAATAGTAGCCAACTGAAATGGATCACTCTCAAACCACCATGGATCGCGTGAGACAAGAGAGATCCACCTATATCGCTAAAGGCACAAGCGATCTTTGCCCCCCCCTCCCTCTCAAATTGATGGAGTCTCTAGCAATCTACATCAAACACACATTGTAACTTCAAACCCCCGTAACTTTGCACTCGATTATACGATCATAATGGTTTCTTTATTCCGCATAAATTTTTAGGACCTTCGAAGCGGAAAATTATTGTATGGAGCAATTGCCAGAAGCGAAAATGTTTTTATTAAAGAGGTTTTGAGAATAAGTTTACATTTAGTTTTACATTTTGCCATATATTCCGAAAATGCTTATATAACAAAAGTTGTTGTCCTAAGAAAATATACATAATCATCTTTTTTTTCTTTGCAATGATCGGATTGCTGAGTAAAAAGTAAAACTCATTCGAAGTTTGGAGAATTTACAAATTGGCACTTTTGGGGACAACAAATGATATTTTTTTGTGACGAAGGTGGATAAAACCACCTACAACGGTTTGCGACTTCGAAGGTTTGCCGTTTGAAACTTTGAAGTATGTTAGGTATGGACCGCTCGACACTTCAGCGATTAGGGGTAAGATGGCGGAGTCGTAAGCAATCTGAGTGGATCATTTTTGTTTGCAGCAATTCAGTCTAGTTCAATACTAGTGCGCTTTTGTTGGTCGCAATCCACATAAATTTGCTCCTTACTCCAGCGAACCAGGGATGAATTCCAAAAATATACATGTTTTTAAAAAAAATTCCCAAAATACACACGTTATAAAAAAAATTCCCAAAATACACATGTTTGAGCATCACCGCTGTGGTCAACCGCAGTGAATGCATTCACAGCGGCAGACCAAAGCGGTAAATGCATCACCGCGGTTGACGGCCGCGGTGAAGGCCCGACTTAACTCTGAAACTTCAAACAAACGTAACTTTGCGCTCGGTTATCCGATTGTAGTGAAATTTTTTTTTGATTCCATATAAATTTCCAAGATCTTTCAATCTGCAACAAGACTCCATCTCAAAAAAATGTCGTTTGTTACCCCGAACTAGCAATTTTTCGATTTTGCCAAACTTTGGAAGGACATAACCTTTAGCTCCTCAATCCGAACGTCATAAAGTTTTTTTTTGATTGCGCATAACTTTTTAAGAACTAAAACTTTGACTAGGAAATAATTTTTTAAAAAGGAAGTATTTTTGGGTATACGGGATTTTGGGAATAACTTTGCCTTTACTTTTCACAAATCCACATACTTTCCAAAATTATGGTTATAATCAAAGTTGTAGTACTTCAAAAGTTATGCAAAATAAAAAAAAAAGTTTCATGACATTCGGATTGTGGAGCACAAAGTTATGATCTTCCAAAGTTTGTTAAAATCGGAAAATTGCTCGTTCGGGGTAGCAAATGACTTTTTTGGGATGAAGTATTGTTTCAGATTGAAAGATCTTGAAAAGTTATATGGAATAAAAAAAAATTCTCTACAATCGGATAACCGAGCGCAAAGTTACGTTTGTTTGAAGTTTCAGTGTTATGTCAGGCATTCACCGCGGTCGTCAACCGTGGTGATGCATTCACCGCTTTGGTCTGCCGCAGTGAATGCATTCACTGCGATTGACAACAGCGGTGATGCCCAAACATGTGTATTTTGAGAATTTTTTATAACGTGTGTATTTTGGGAAATGTTTTTAAAAACATGTGTATTTTGGGATTTTTTTCTATGAACCAGTATCTAAATTGCTGGACACTCAAACAAATCAAACTTATATATATTTTGGTAAAGTGGTATATTGTTGAGAATATTCTTTTGGAAGGCTTGTATTTTGTGAAAAATCCCCACTAGACAATTTATTTGGGATTGCCACCCCAACACCATTAATATATAAAAGCCTTGGATGTGTCCACTGTTCATTAGTGGCGACCACTCTCTCCTCTGCGACTAGGCTTCGTCCACCCGTTTTCCCTTCATTCGCCCACGTAGCCCACTGCTTCTCTCACACAAGAACCCTCCAATCCCTATTACCCCACTCGCCGTCGCCGACCTTTGGATCTAGCATTTGTCCGTCGGATACTTCTCTATACCTATGCAAAAGGGCCACTCACTTTTGCTCCTCCTTTCTATACGCAACCTGCTCCTTCACTGTACTTTGTCTTCTCTTTCTTGCACGATGCACGCTATCCATTCCAACATTGGACACCGCCACACAGGTAGGAGAGGCTTCCTCCCTTTTACATCCTCCTTGCTTGGCCCTCTCTGCTCACAAAATCCACTCACAACAGAGGAATCAGAGAGGACAGATCCCTGAAACCTGCTGTGCGATTGCGCTTTGGGCGAATCCTAGCTCCTTCTGCTTCTCTCTCCCTTTTCGGCGAAATCCCAGGTATCGATCTCTCTCCCCCGTTATTGAAGAACACGGAAATTGTTGGAGTAGAGGAAGATGTTGAGGAGGAGACCATGGAACCGGTGGGGTTCTTCATGGAGGAGACACGAGGGAGCTTCAACTTAGCCGAAAGCGAGGTCCCTTTTCTCTCTCCCTCTTCTCGGCAGAATCCCAAGTCCTGATCTCTCTCACCCCCGCTATTGAAGAATAAGAAGGAGGGAATAGTTGGCGCAGAGGAAGCAGTTGAAGAGGAGACCATGGCGTCAGTGGAGTTCTTCATGGAGGAAGACACGAGGGAGATTTTAACTCGGCGAAGGTCGGCAACGCCAAAAACAACGCAGCCACGCAGGGACATACACCGCCGCCAGCTCGAGACCAACATCTCTTTGTGGATAGGAGAGAGATGAAGAGACGAGATTCATTTCCATTACATCAACAAGAATGCGCATAGCAGCTGGGGTGCCCTTCCTAAGAATGCAGGTTTTGTTCAGTATAGGTGTTTCAGCCACTCATAGCAGGTATGTCCCTCTTTTTTATGATTTTTCTGTTCGTTTTTAGGTTTAGTAATCCATATACAAGACTCCTTTAATTCTGCTGCTCAACTGGGTGAATGTAGAATGGATGAGGATAGGGGAACCAATTACAACAAGTAAACATTTTATTGTTTAGTTTTTGGGATGATTACTTGCAGACTACATCTATATTGTATTAGGTATATATAGATTTCAATATCCTTTCGAGTTATCTCATTGTGATAATTTAGGAGATTGCATTGTGGAATTCATCGATAAAATCTCTCTGGTGGTTTTAAGAACAGAACTTTTCAGTGGTGTTGTTAGCTTGGTTGATTTGAACGAGGTATATGCTTGCTCTTAACTCCATTCACTTTTGTTGTATAGGTAAATACTCTCTTTCAAGCACCTATGCAACCTGGTTGGTTCTTAACCCATCAACTCCTATCTCCTTAGAACTTATAGTTGCATTGCATATATGTTCTTGACTTTTTCAAATCCCAGGAAAGAACCCTATTTCCGGGAGAAGATTCCATCCCTGCAACCCACTTCCAACACACTTTAAAGGTTGCTACTACAGCTTTCATTCACACTGCCACTTCTAATTCACTTCATTTATTTAAGCGTTGGAGCCCAAAGTAGAGAGCAAAGCTCATGAGTATGCATGTGAACCCCTCAAGGTATCACGATTGAAGTGGTCTTCTCTGTGTTGCGGTTTTAATAAAGCTTTATAATAAAGTATTGTAGACAGGTGCATGTTTTGGGTATATTCTCTTTTGTGCATTTGAATTTAATTATGCACTTCCTACATTGTTTGCTGGAAACAAATAGTTCATTATGAGTGTTTCCTACTTGGGGTTTCAGTTTCCTCTGTAGTTTCAAAAGGGAGTTCTGTGCTGCAACTTTTTACTCAAAAACCATCGTTTCATAGGAAGAAAGCTCATTTACGGTTTCTTGTGATTCTCCAGTCATGCTGTTATTTCCCTCAACTATTAAGGAAGCTTGGAGGGCGAGTTTCCGGATCACCTCTTCAGGTAACTTTCTTAATTCGGAATTGTTCTTCCATCTCATTAGGGTTTTTTTTTCACCTTATGGTTTCTGTTGGTTCATCACATCCTAATTTCCTTATCTCTTGCTAATTTCTTTGTGTATAGGTGTCCTTCTGATACCACAAACATGCCCTCCTTCCTGGGTTTCCACTATAGAATATCTTAAAGAGCTAATTCCAGCAGGTAATTGTGAATTCCATTGTTTCCATCCCTTATTCTTTCATTCTCATGGATGCGTTACTATTATTTCTTGGTCTAGCTTTTTATAGTTTTCCTTAGACTCAAATTACAACAATTTAGAATTTGTAAAGTATTCAGGTAAGTATTTGGATTGTGTTCGACGATGATAGGGTTTGATTGAGTTTGGAAGCCTATATCTTGCCCTACCATTTACTTTTATGTTTAGTTCCCTTGGCCGATTCCCCGAGTTTGCTGAGTTGTGTTTATCCTTGATACTGTTACCATATATCTTGAAGCTATAACTCAAATTAGATCTAATCCTCTCTCCATTCATATTGCCTGCTTTTGTTGCTGAGTCTTCTCGATGGCAGCTGCAGAATGTAACCAGCCTTATAGAGTGTGGAGATGAAATGAAAAGTTGTCACTTTATTGTTCAAGAGGTGTTATTCAACTACTAAACTTACCCGTTCCTACTCACTGTTGAATTTGCAGAGTAACTATCAGCACCCACCCAAACTAGAAAATCTGAGGGTAAGAAGAAAGGAGTTAAATGATTAACAAACAATAGAGATTGAAGAGAGGACTTGGAAGCATACACAGGAGACTGGTGGCCTTATTTGGTAAACAGACTTTGCTTATGTTCAATGTTGATAAACTATATTTACATTCCTTTTCCTTTAAAGTGAGTTGTTCCTCTTCCTCTGAGGCTTCTATTGATCCTTTTTCACCCATCCACACTTCTCTATCATTTGAAAGGGTTTTTTCTCTCTAAAAAGAAGATTATGTGTAGCTCTCTATTGTTCTATTTGTCTATCCTTTAGCCCTTCATATGTTTTTATGTCTCTCTTGCTCTCATAGATTATTCTTCTCACAAATGGAGTTAATGTTACTGGCATCTGATTGAAGGAGTCCACATCAATAGAATTAAGCGATATATGACGTCTAAGGTAGAGATATGAGATTCGAAATGCTTCCCTCAGTGGTTCTATGATCATCTTCATTATTCATCCCTCGCGCTACTATTTTGTGTTCTTTAACCAACCCCACATGCCTTACCCTGTTGGTACTACATGATAACTAATTTCCTTTATTTTTTTCACAGGTTGCAGGCTTGAACATTGATATTTTGTCAGGTTCATCAAGTTCAAAGGCTTGGATCACTCTGTTTACATTGTCATGAATCCCTCTTTGGCCTTATGAAACGCCTTTTGTTGGTTTAATAATGCTGCTGGTTTTATGTACATGGATCAATGGTTGTATTGACTTTTGCTCTTCTCCTTTATGGTTAGTATCAGTATGTGCAACTACAGCTCCTTTGTATTTTTCTTTTCAGTTTTCCCATCCCACTCTTTATAGATCAAATTGCCTTAATTTGCTTAAACAATGGCACTGGAAATTATTATGTAGTTCTAAGAGTCCTACACTAGAAGCATTATGCATCCCTCCTACTCTATCCTTGATTGCTTTAATCTTATATGTAGCTCTGGTGCACTACTTTAATATATGTCGCTTGCAGAACCATTATTATTTACTTTGATAAACCAAATTGTCTTTTGTTTGTGTTACAAAGCTTTTGATTAACCACTTTGGTAGTGTTCTGTGTATTGATATCACTTATTGTCCTTATTCCCTAAGTTATGCCATGCTCAATGAACCTGTGGAGTTTATTGCACCATTACTCAGTTTCTCGGTTATTTGTAGATTAATGAACTACAATAATGTTTGCCTTTCTATATTTTTGGTGTAGTTTATTGAAACATATAGTCTTGCTCATTCCAAGTATAGTTTTTGTGTTCCTACTGATTCTTTAATTGCTTGCTGTTGTGATTGTAAAGATTGTATAGGAAATAAGATTGCTACTTGGTTACTGATCTTGGACAACCACCGTTTCTCCTCAATCTCAGTCTCTATTGTTTTTCTGAGTTTATTTATTGTCAATTGCAGATTTCCACATTGCCAATATAACAACCATAAACTGCGCTATGATGAGTGAAGTTTGCATATCATCCAGCAATGTGAAGAGAAGGTAATTATCAGTCTTATCTAGATTTTTAGGGTTAAATATATTTCACTTTTACATATCTCTACGTTTTTTGTGCCACTGTAACAATAAAAATTTGCATTTTATCGATTTGGATTCACAGAAAGATGGATTCACTGGTGGTTTGGTGGCGTTTGTGATGCTTACCTATGTTCTTAGTTTGCCTTTTTAAAGTGACCATAATGGCAACTGCTGGGGAAGAGTTGAGTATTGACTTCTTTTCATTAATGTATTGTGCATCCAGGAACGGGTGTCGTTGAGAGGAGAGGAGTGCCTCACCCAGGGATTTAACTAGAAATTGTCTTATGAAGGGGACGAGTAGAGAGACTATATTGCAAGGTACCATGATGTGAGAGACTCACTTTTCAATTTTTAGGGTGGTTAGAGAAGCTCTATTGCTTAACTTAATATTCTATTCTTCTCCCAGATGATATTTGCTCCAGTTGCTATGCAAGCACAAGCCATGCCAACAAGATAAATAGGTATACACGTACCAAAGCAAACATATAAACAGTTATGGACGTGATAGGCTAATACTAACTATTAAATTTACATGTAATCAGTTTCTACTTCTCAGTGGACAATGCTGATGAAACAGATCAGGCCACATTCCTCATGAGGCATCTGCACCTTTGCTTCAAACAAGCCCTCGACGGGACGTCAAAATACCCGATGTGAAATACTTACATAGACGGTGGAACATTAGTGCACGCTTCGATGTTGTTTTGATTTGGCAATGCCATGCTGCTAAATCTACAGACGAATGCGCTAAAGCAGCAAACCAGGTTTTCCACTCCGGATCGAAACATATCGATATCGACTGATGTCGCCATAACATAACCGCAAAGCTAGATTGTTATTTGACACACTGTCCTATTCACTTCAATGTCCTGCAATTACAAACTATTCAAAGTCTCCTTTATTAACTGATTGATCGATACCATCTCATTCAACCAACTCCTCTTTCAAATTACTTTCACTTTTGAATTATCATTTACGCTTGACTTAAATTTGTCTTACTAATCAATAGGTGTTGAATGATTCATCATTATTGGATTTAGTCGTATATTATGTTTCGTACATGTTTATATCAAGTTTTTGCTTATGCGCGAAGCGTAGCGAGCGGGTCTTTGCTAGTATTGCTTAATTTTTGGTAGTGGGCCACCCATAGGAACAGTGGGCCGAAGCCTGGCCCAAGTCAATTTTCCACTTTGATCTTCGCCGCCGCCTTCTCATTGGAATCCACACGGACTTTAGAAGCTTCAACCGGGGGAGACTGTGGCCGGTACTCGTACCTCCTGGCGACGACGACATAGATGCAGAAATTGATCAAACTCAAAATCGCCAGCAGCAGATAGAACAGATTCAGATGATTCCTATTGATATTGTTTCCGGCCAGCCATCCCCCGCTCCTCGTCCTATCCTTCGTCGCTCTATTCACGAGCTTCACCAATATGGTGCTCAAGAAGTAACCAAGCGCCATGGAGTTCCACAGCAAGGAAGTCGACATGGACTTGAGCGCCCGGGGAGCCTCCGAGTAGAAGAACTCCAGCAGGCCGACGTAGGTGAACATGTCGGCGACTCCGAATATGAAGAACTGGATCGACAGCCACAATGTGCTAATCGGTAGCGGCTGCGACTTCGGCAAGGCGTCGAGCATCCCGTGGTCCCTCGCCACCGCCTTGCGCTTCACTTCCATGATCGAGGCGGCGGTCATCGACAGGCACGAGAGGGTCAGCCCGACTCCGATTCGTTGCAGGTGCGTTATCCCGGTGGGATGGCCGGTGAGCTTGCGGATGAGAGGTACGAATAGATGGTTGTAGATTGGGACTAGGATCATTAGGAAGAGAATTGGGATTACAGGTAGGGTAGCTGGTGGGATTTTGATTGATTTGGTGATTGTGGGATCCATGGTTAGCCCTTGTACGATTGAGAATGTTTGGAGCGGAGCTAGGCAAAGGGTCATGATGATTGTGCAGAAGAACATTGGTAGCATTCCCAGCACGATTTTGGCGTTCTCTACTTGTGTGACCCTGCTTAGTCTCCATGGATTAGGGGTTTTTCGGAGAGTAGCTGGTGATGAGTCTTTTGCTGTTTCTGGTAATGGTTGATTAATAGCTGCTTTGTCTAGGAACTTGAAAATTTCTCTGTGAGCTAGAAATTCTACTTCCATTGCTGCTTCCTTGTCTTTGCTTATCTCATAGAGATCTGAAGGGTCTTCTGGAAGTTGAAGCTTTCTGTTCCTGTAGGCTGCAACATAAACCTGCAGAAATGACCAATTGGTTTAGTGAGTGCTCTTCTTGCGGTGGCCTAAAGACAGGAAATTTGCAGTCGTGGGAAAACCTGAACGATCTCGGTAAGGGCGGTCGATCCTTCAATTAGTTGAATCCGGTACCAAGGCAGGCCGATCAATATCAAGAGTATGCCGAAAGCAACGCCTATGCAACCAAACCCAAAACCTATGTCCCATCCTCTGTGGTCTTGGATCCAAACAAGGAGTGTTAAGCTGATTGCACCGCCAGTACACGCTGCCAGCAACAGATAGTTGAAGAAGCCAGACCTCTGCCTTGCTTCTTTTGGGTCTTTCTCGTCAAATTGATCAGCACCATGTGCCGGTAATGATGCTTTGAGCCCTGCTGATCCAGCGGCGAGCAAGTAGAGAGAGGCATAGAGATATGCAGCATTTCCACCTTCGACTTTCTCACAATGATCAGCTGGGTTGAATACATTACATGTGGGTGGCTTCATCTTGGGATGATGGGCTTGGATAGCTAGCAATGCTAGTCCCTGGACACAAGTGGGGATTTCATGTTTGATCTTTGTTACGTCACAGTGAGGATGTTAATGCATGAATAAAGAGCTGAGCTTTACCAGCATCTCGAGGCAAGCTGAAAAGATGACAGCTCTGAGTCTGCCAATGTAAGTATCGGCGAGGATAGCGAATAGAATGGCCATGATGTTGCTAGCCCCCATGTAGTTTGTCAGCTGATTTGCTGCTTCTGCCACTTCCATGTGCATAATCCCGTTGAAATAAGTCACCAAGTTCACTGCCAGCGCAACAGTGGCCATGTTTTCACAGGCAAGCCCGACTGCACAATCAAACACAAGTCTCAAAACAGTCACTCTTGCAAGGAGGTAACACCTAAAACCCGACTTCCAAATATGAAAACTTTTGCATATATATAGATGCATTGCTTGCCTAGTATGAAGTAAGACGTCCTGGTTCCTCCATGCTTGTGTCTCTGAGCTGGTCTTCCCTTCCAGTCTACCTTCCCCTCAACAACCTCATGTTTCTCCTAGAAATTGCTCATAAATAAGTACTTTTCTTTTAAGTGCACGCTAGCATGTAAAGCACTGAAAAGGAAAAGTAGGTAATAACACTATGCTTGGAACTGTAAACAGGCTAATACCATGGTTGTCTGTGCCGGTTTGCCTTGCTGCTTGTTTTGACAGAAGCTCCACAGATGATGCCCAGGATGGGTCTCTCTTGCATTTGATTTTGGGCTCCATTTATGGGCAAACAGAATATTCCTCAATATTGGCAGCCGCCATTGATGCATCTAATTACCTCGGTTTGTCCAACCTCAAACCCTCCATCATCTTTCTTGTTTGCCATTGTCCAAACATGGATGCTGCTGCTGCCTTGATATTGACGTTCTCACGTTTTTATCGCAAGCTTGTATTACTTGACCCTCCTCTGAGAATCCTAGTAAGGATTCCCTTTCTAGTTTGAGAGCTGGCGTAGTGTGAGACCAGACATAGGCTTAATGATGGGATCATCTATAAGCAAGCTCGCCACTTTACAAGTTGCTTTACAAATTAACCATGGTCATTGTGATCTGATCATATTATGATTTATGGTGCTAAGCAAACTCGTTTACCATTCTTGGGCATCTTCGTTATCTTCTGGACGGTTGCTATCTGATCATATTATGATTTATGGAACAGCCAGCTGTGCTATGTTTGTCTTTGAGTGAAGTGGAATAGAATAAATAAATCAAATTCAAGTCTTTCCTATTGAATCGTCTTCCTCTTCTAGAAGAACGTTTTCATAAAACCTATTTATACGGCTCCAACTCTAATGGTTTTATCCTTCGCTAATTTTGCAGAGCTCATGATCAAGATATTGTCAAGGTAAGCTAGAATACGGCCAAATTGGATGGGGAGTAAGAGAAGAACGAAACTATCCAAGTAACCCGAGGAATCCTCAGAGGCATCCACTTGTCCAAACTACTACACACCTCTCCGCCACCTCACTCTCCAATGCATGCCGACGTGCCATTCCTTCCACCCTTCCACGTCATCTTCACTTCCATTTCTTTCTCCTCCTCCCTGTTTATAAAATCCTCCACAGAACAAATGGTCGCCAATTGCCAGTGCCACTGCCAGTTTGCCCCCTTCCCACAACCAACCGCATCCTCTGAATCTCGTTGTCTTTCTGTTTCGGGCGATGTCGACTTCCAGCGATGAACCAGCGATGGGAGCGAAGAAGGTGGAGGGAGCAGGTGAGCCGATACCGCCAGGGAAACCGATGACGATGGAGCAGCACATTGTGGACAAAGGGGCCATGATGCTTCAGAGGCTGAAGCCGATGAAGCAGATCAGCCAGCATGGTTGCAGCTTCGCTATCTATAGCCACGACATGACCCGCCAGATTGAGACTCACCACTACTGCACCCGTATCAACCAGGATTTCCTCCAGTGTGCTGTCTATGACTCCGATGGCTCCCATGGCCGCCTCATAGGTTCCTTTACCTTTCCTTCTAATTTTGGTTTCCTCTTGTTGTAGCTATCCGAGTTTTTATCCATCACCTCATTTGATGCTGAACAGTTCCGTGTCATAACTATAAACTTCTGATTAGTGATTAGAGTTCACTCTGGGAACCCTATGAGTAGGTTGGGTGGTTTGGTCGAATCTGCCTGGGTTGGCTCTGTGACTTAAAACCTATATTCAGGCCAGTGGGTTGCTTTATCTAATTTAATCTTATTAGTCTACCCTTTTAGGAGTAACAAATTGGTTGCTGCCTTGAGTAATCATTCATGTTGATTCATTATCAAATGGGGCGCTAATCGTTGGGTGCAGGAGTGGAGTACATAGTATCTGACAAAACATTCGAAGCCCTGCCTCCAGACGAACAGAAGCTCTGGCATTCCCACGCTTACGAGGTCAAATCTGTTATCCAATTGTATATTCAATCGTATTACGATCGACTGGTGAATCTTCGGAATGTGTGAAATGGTGGAAGTGATTGGATGCAGATCAAATCAGGGCTGTGGGTGAACCCCAGGGTTCCAGAGGTCGTAGTGAAGCCAGAGCTGGAGAATTTGGCCAAAAGCTACGGCAAGTTTTGGTGCACTTGGCAGCTAGACCGAGGTGCTGATTAGCTCTGTTGTGGTTGATTAACTAATAATTGATGTAGTTTCTTTTATCACTCACCAAGTCTCGGTTCCATGATTAAAAATACAGGGGACAGGCTGCCGATAGGAGCACCAGCACTAATGGTGTCGCCACAAGGCGTGAACATGGGGGTGCCATCACCCGAACTGGTGCGCACGAGGGATCTCAAGTACAACATACTCACAGAGGCGATTCGAGATTCGAGGGTGGAGATTGCGGAGCCGGAGTGGCTGAACCCGATGGCGGACTACTGGAAGCAGCACGGCAAGGGGTTCAAGATCGACGTGGAGCCGGTTGACATGAAACTCAGAGCTCCTTTCCCATGAAAAGAAGCCAACGTTTTTTTTTTTTAAATACATGTTGGAACTTGTTTATCCTTTCTCTGGGTTGAGAAATAATGCATGAAATGTTGGTGTGCCAAGTGTCTTTGTTCGCGGTGCCGTGACTTTTGTATCTGTCTGTACAGTGGAGACTAAATGGTAGTGTTTGGTATTATAATCTCTTTTGAGATTTTTTTTTATCTATGCATACTTACAAGTTACATCAACCTTGAATATTATCTCTGATGAGATTGCAACGTGTCTTTGCCTGAGATATTGCTCCGTTAAACGTGAACGGGTCCATATTTAGTTATTTACAGGAGCTTACGGTGGAAAAAATCCAAAACTACCACTGTTTAAAAAAAAATTATAAAAATATCACCAATTTCCAAAAATTTCCAAAAATATCCCCTTTATTTAAAACCGCTCCTCTAAGTGGCGGTTATTAAACAAACCGCTCTTCTTGGCAACGGTTTACCTTATAACCGCCACGTCAGTCAGCGTTTTAATTTTTCAGATAAAACCGCGCCTCAGAGGAGCGGTTTATATGCCAACCCTACTACAAAACGCTTGGGGAGGAAGCGTTTTAGTGTCGGCAGAATAAACCGCCCCTGCAGGGTGCGGTTTATCTTACCCATACACAAACCCGCTATCTAAAGGTGCGGTTTGTTGTCGGCAGCAGACATAAACCGCCGCCCCAAGGCGCGGTTTGTGTCTGGTCACCCGGCAACAGACATGTCGGCATGCAGGGGTGGGGTGCATGGCAGATCTAAAACCGCTCCCCCACCCGCGGTTTGTGGTCCAAAATTCGCCTATAAAAAGCTGATTCAGAGAACTAAATTCTTCACACTCCTCCCCTTCCTTCTTCAAATTTCAATTTTGCACCTTTAAATTATTTAGTTTTTGCGATTAACGTTAATTCGTAAGCTTGTTTTGTATTACTTTTCATTGCCCTTTGTGATTTTATGTTAGTAACTTATTTACTTTTCATTGTCCTTTGTGATTTTATGTTATTAACTTAATTACTTTTCATTGTCATATCTAGGGGTGGAAATCGGTACGGTATCGGTATCCCAATACCGAATACCGAAATACCGAATACCAAATTACATCCTAAAATCAATCCCAATCCCAATCCCAATCCCTAAATAATTTCGGTATCCCAATCCCAATCCCTAAATATTTCGATATCCCAATCGGTACTTCGGTATCCCAATCGGTATTATCGATGACGAAATTAATTACCTTTGCAATTAATAATTAAATATATAAATTAGATTTGATTGTTTAATATAGGACAAAGAGACATAGCAAAGAGTCTTGAGTTTGGCTAGAACTAGAATGTGGATAAGGAGAATGGAGGAAAGGTGACATCTAAAGTTTTTGTCATTGATAATCGTTAATTTGATGAATTGGAGGCCGAGAGAAGACTAATACTAGTGTTTGCTTTTTGGTGTTATGAAAATAACAAGAGATTGGTGGTTGAGGGTCGTGTAGTAGTGAATGAGAGAGTCTAGTTGAGAGGATAAAATGCGCACTAACTTATATTTCGGTATTGTTCGGTATTTCGGTATATACCGATCCCAATCCCGTAATCCCTAATACCGAATAACAATTAAAATTGAATCCCAATCCCAATCCCAAGAAATAATACGTGTATTCGGTAATACCTAATATAGACAAATTCGGTACGGTATTCGGTATATCCCAAATACCGGTACCAAACTTCCAGCTCTAGTCATATCCCTCTTGTATTACTTTTCATTGTCGTTTGTGATTTTATGTTAGTAACTTAATTACAGTTTTATTGCAGATGGCATTCCAAAGGTTCACGCTTGGGTTGCGGTGGAATGGTTACACGGAAGAGACCGAAAAGGGTGTAAGTTACGTCGGTGGTAATTTTCATAAAATGAAGGTCCGTACAAGACCGACGCTTGAAGAGCTCCATCAATTGTGCACTCAGATTACCTGCATGGATGGCACTAGAAGAGTGGTGGATCCTAAGAAAATTTTATTTTATTGGACGGAAACAACCCCACCTTTGGGTCGCTCCGGCCACCTCGGGGTCAAATACCTTGGGTCACCTAGCCCACCCCGGGGTCACTCCGGTCACCCGGGTCAAATACCTTGGGTCACCTTGGGGTCACTTCGGCCATCCGGGGTCAAATATCTTGGGTCACCTTGGGGTCACTCCGGCCACCTCGGGGTCAAATACCTTGGGTCACCTAGCCCACCCCGGGGTCACTCCGGTCACCCGGGGTCAAATACCTTGGGTCACCTTGGGGTCACTCCGTCCACCCGGGGTCAAATACCTTGGGTCACCTTGGGGTCACTCCGGCCACCTCGGGGTCAAATACCTTGGGTCGCTAGCCCACCCTGGGGTCACTCCGATCACCCGGGTCAAATACCTTGGTGTCACTCCTGCCACCTGGGGTCAAATACATGGGTCACCTTGGGGTCACTCCGGCCACCCAGTGTCAAATACCTTGGGTCACCCTGGGGTCACTCCGGCCACCCGGGGTCAAATACCTTGGGGTCACTCCGGCCACCTCGGGGTCAAATACCTTGGGTCACCTAGCCCACCCTGGGGTCACTCCGGTCACCCGGGTCAAATACTTTGGGTCACCTTCGGGTCAATCAGGCCACTCCGGGGTCAAATACCTTGGGTCACCTTGGGGTCACTCAGGCCACCGGGGTCAAATATCTTGGGTCACCTTTGGGTCGCTCCGGTCACCCCGGGGTCAAATACCCTGGGTCACCTTGGCTACCTTGGGCTTTCCGCCCACCCCAGGTCACCTCAACCTTTAGCCACGTACCCCCGCAATGTGTCCACCCACCAAACCACCTAGCTCTCGAAGGAGACACGTACTCCCTTCATGTTCGCCTGGGAGCCTCTATAAAAGGCCATTTCGTCTCCAGATTGAGGTAAGTAAAAATTCCCCATGCCTAGACTCGTGAACTCGCGCTATGATTAGCGCAGATATTCATTCTCAACTCCATTCCCTCATCTATCTTTTCGAGGTCATATTCCTCTCCACTCAACACCCTCACTAACTTGAGCGTCAGAGAGTGTCCCCGCCGAGATCGGCCGGCGGACCCTTTTTGCAGGAGACGACCGGAGCTAAGATCACGAGTGAAGTTCGAGGTGAAAGGTGGTCGTCGACCGACTCCGGTGCCCGGCATAAAAAATTTGACGTCGTCTACAACCCCGGCATCAACAATTGGCGCCCACCGTGGGGCCCTGGAGGAAAAGGTTAAAAAAAAACTAGCGCCACTACTTCGCTCAGGATGGAGTCTCAAAGCCCCCTACACCCCCAAACTGGCGGCGGAGTTCGAGACAAAGAGCCAGCTCCTCCACCGTCTGTTGTAGAGCTTCAAGCCCAAGTTGAGCAGTTGAAAGCCCAATTCCAAGCATTGACATCAGCTCCTCCTCCAACCCATGGGCTGCATGCCAGCTCTAGCCACCAACCGGAGACCACCGGAGGGTCAGCCCACCCCAATGGGACGTCAATCCCTCCTCCACCTCCCCAACCAGGGGATCTCTCATACCTTGAGGCCCACCTAACTCCCAGTTTCATGGCAGACCCTGGGCACGGCAAGCCTTTGGCCCGTTCGATCCTGGATCAGCCCAACCCCCCGAACTTCCAAATGCCTCACCACCTTCCAGAATACTACGGCACTTCCGACCCAGAGGATCACCTTAGCGCCTTCCAGATTTTGATGCCTTTCGTGGGGGCATCTGACGCTACCATGTGCAAACTCTTCCCCACCACCCTCCGGGGAGTGGCATTTCAATGGTATACTCAGTTGCGAAATGGCATAATCACCAGCTTTGAGGAGTTCGCCACCCTCTTTCGAGCCAAGTTTTTTGTCCAGAAACGGCCAAATGTGGACGTGTCTCGCCTCATGAGCACTAAACAAAGAGAGTACGAGACCCTTAAGGAGTATTACTCTCGATTCAGCACAATTGCTGTCGGGGTTACCAATCTAACCACGGAAAATGCAACTCATGCCCTCGTATTTGGAACAAGCAACTCTCTTCTCCGAGCGTCACTCATAAAGCGGCGTCCCCGCAACATGATGGATCTCCAGGAACGGGTGTCCAAATACATCGCCCTCGATGAAACCTTACAAGAGGCAGCTCCCCCAAAGCGTGCTCGGTCACCGCAAAAAAGGAAACGAGAACCCTCACCTCCACATCGTCCAGACTCACCAAAGTCTCGTGACCATCAACAAGGTAGTTCTCCGTCTGGCCAAGGCAGGGGGGCACGTCGAGACAGGCGTCGGGAGGAGTCAATCCCTAAGCCTGACCGGACTTTCACCCCACTAACGGAGTCCCGCAAGACCATTCTTCAGATAATCCAAGAGAAGAAGATCCCCATATCCTGGCCAAACCCCATAACAAAAGAACCTCGGAAAGGGAAACACAAGTACTGTGATTTCCACCGGGGATATGGCCATGACACCGAGCGATGTTGGACATTAAAAAACTACATCGAAGACCTGGTACAGGAAGGTCACCTGAAGAAATACATTGGGAACCCGGAGAGCCGCCCTCAAGAAGTAGCACCGGCAGATCAAGGAAAGGCACCACAGGGCGGTGGGATACTCGGAGTCGTGGATGTCATCCACGGGGGCGCAGGTTTGAGCAATGCCAACGGAAAGCCACTCTCGACCTGCGGTCAAGCGATGGTGGGGTCAACATTCTCTATCTCGGGGACTCCCACAATTTCCTTTGATGTCAAAGACTTGAACGGAGTCACCCACCCCCATGATGACCCGCTAGTGATTGAGGCCGTGGTTGCAGACTACAAGGTCAAACGAATCTTGGTGGATGGAGGTAGCTCGGCGGATCTCCTGTTTTACCCTGCTTACCTCTCCCTGGGGTACCGCCCAGACCAATGCCGGCCCGCCAAAATTTGCTTGGTCGGTTTCTCAGGAACTCAGGTACCCGTGATCGGGACGCTCCCATTACGTGTTCGTGTTGGAGAAGCAGACCAAATTGCAGAGACTGTCACCAACTTTCACATCGTAGATTGCCCATCAGTATACAATTGGATTCTAGGGCGACCTTTTTTACATCAACTCCGAGCAGTCCCCTCCACATTCCACCTCCGCCTTAAGTTTCCAACAAACACTGGCATTGGATGTGTTCGGGGAGATCAAGCTCTTGCCAAACAGTGTTGCACACTTTCTTTACAAAAGAAAGCAGTTGTCAACAT